TTCGATCCAGAAGAGGAGTAACTATGCAGAAGTGATTTTTTTAAAATTTTCATCTTTCCTCTTATCCCAAAAGCAATGAATACAAGTTCAAGTGCTAAATTTAATTTCAGGAAAAGAAAGACTGCTCTATGTCTTTCCTTCAGGGGCTTTGGTTCCCTCATCAGCCAGACCCATCTTGACCTGAGCAGCTTCCGTAGGGCCCTTTCCCTAAAGATAGTTAAACTAAATCACTATTGTCATCATAGTGCAGAAAAAAAACATGTAATCACAGGCCCAGGCCTGGTGATTTTCCCCCCCTAAGAAGCCACAACATTTAAACTTGGTTTGCCCTGGACCACAGGGTCTGACAAGACAATAACAACAGAAAAAGCTTTTAAAACCAATTTAGCACACGTGAAGATGTAATTCTAATGAAGAATCAATAGGCTGGCGGATCATTTTTCCTGGGACTCCTTGGAGAACCTGAGAGAGACTTTCAATCAATGGGGCAGGCAATAAGCAAAAGGGCCCAAGAGACAGTGTGGGACAGTGCTGAGGGCTGGGAGACAAAGAGAGGCAGAGCCTGAGGGCCAGGCTGGAGGAAGACTGGATACAGGTCTGGACCTTCCACTGGGTCACCCTGAAGATTCTCTTTCCTTCTCAGTGCCTCTCTGGTATGCAGCAGGCTGCTTAGCACAGTGGCTTCAGCTGCCCTTCCCCTGGGCCCAGGCCTTGGCCCTGGTACTGCCCCAGCCTTGGCCCTGTATTCAGGTAGCTGTGTCCATCTGGCTCACAAGCAGCCAGGGGACCCTGAGCTGAGTGTATGAGTCTCGTCTTCAAACACTGGTTCCTCAGTGAGTGCCTCCTCAGCCCTGTGTCTGGGACACTGAGTCTCAGTTTGTCTCTGCTAATGCAGAAGCAAAAGCACCTACTGTGGCAGGGTGCACAGAGCAGTGGCACTCATCCATGACCCCAGCACTCTGGGTGGCTGAGACAGGGGGATCGAAAGTTTGAGCCCAGCCCAGGCAACTCAGCAATTCAGTGAAACCCTGTCTCAAATTTTAAAAAAATATTTAGCCAGGCATGGTGGCACACATCTGTAATCCCAGCGCTCAGGAGGCTGAGACAAGAGGGTCACCATGAGTTCAAGGCCAGCCTGGGTTACATAGTAAATTCAAGGCCAACCTGAACTATATAGTGAGATCCTGTGTCTAAAAAAAAAAAAAAATTTTTTTTTTTAATTTAACAGGGGGAGGAGCTGGAGACATAGCTCAGTGTGAAGCCCTGAGTTCAATCCTAGTGGGGGGAGGGATATGTGATGTAAGTGTGGTTATACTTCACATTTCATCAAGCATTTGTACACACATTATTTTCCAAGAAACTTGTGAGAAGGGCAAGAATCATTATCCCTCTTTCAGAGAAAAGGAAACAAAAACACAAAGAGCTGTGCTGTGGAGGTGACTCAGCAGGTCAGAACCCTGTGTGTGGTCGGTGTGGCTCTGAGGTGGTCGAAGTGGAAGGCTGACTGTGTGCAGCCGTGGGGTGGCTGCACAACAGTTGTGGATGACTAGAATTTCACTTATGCGTATTACCCTCCTGCCCTCGGAAGGAAACACTGCCCTGTGCATAATAAAAAATGAAAAATATCCTTGCTTTAAATTTCTATGCACTCTGGTTGGAAAATCACTGATGACAAAAAGAAAAGAAAAGCCAACAAGGTCTGATTTTTCAAATATAAAATGTTGATGACATGGGGCTGGTTGTGGCTCATGGGAGAGGGTTTACCTAATATTCTTCAGGTTGTAGGTTCAATTCCCAGCAGCACAGAGAGGGAAAAGTGGTTGGTCAGCTCATCAGTGGCCATGATTCCCCTAAAGGAGGAGACAGTCATATTCTTGCAGGCAGGTTTTAAAACCTTGTTGAGGAACCCAGATACCAGACTTGTCTCTGGTCCTTGGCCCCTGCAGCCTTGTTACTACCTGCAGCTTCGTGACCCTTCTGGAGCATGCTCAGGGCAGGGTCCTAGGAGGTGACTTCCAGCTCCACAGAACCTGGACCCACCCCTGTCTTACAGCTTATCTTCCTGGGGCAGAGGTGTCTGTGTAACCTCCTCAGCAAATCGCCCCCCCCCACCTGTGCTTGAAGCTTAGGGTTTCCCTAGCGTGTGCCTGGATAGCCTCTCAGGTGAGCAAGGCTGTAAGGGCAGGAGGCCCAGGGCAAGTAGGTGTCAGAACAAATGGAGCAAGGAAGAAAGGGACCCTGGGGAAGTAGGTGTGGGCCATTAGTGCTCACAAAGGCTGTGCACACATCTGTGTAAGAAGTAGGGGTACAAGCAAGCACGTATCGGAAAAGTGAGGTAGGAGAGGCTAGAGAATTTGTGAGCAGGGTGTGAGAGGGGTAAGTCCAGACTGGGAGGGCAGGATGTGGGACAAACATCCTTGTGCTTGGGGGTGGTGTGAGTCTAAGGGCCCCTGAGACCCAGGTGGGGGACAGGTCACTGTAGAGGGCAGAGTTCCAGACAGAGCGGCCAAGTGAGTGGGAGGGTTGGGCCCTTGTCCCTCTGTCCCTGTCCCTCACCGGCTGTTCATGAGAGGGAAAGCCAGGACAGTCTCCTTTCACTGGGTTTTTTTAAAAACAGAATCCAGAGCAGGAGAGCTAGTGAGGGTTATCAGGTGCAGCTCCCTAAGGGTTGTTTGGGAGATAGGAACCACTGTGTCCCGCCACAGCTGGTAGGCATCGGTGGAGATTTTGCAGACCGAGCCTGAGACCAGAAAGCAGATGGTGGAAAAAGCACTCCTGGGGGAAGGGAGCCGTTCAAAGTTGGGGAGACGCAACGGCAAGGACGCCCCTGCGCAGACCGTAGGAGGGGAGCGTGCGACAGTGGAGGAGGTGCGGGGTGAGAGGCTGCGCCGGCGTCTAGGCCGGGAGTCGGTTTCCGGGTGCAGCGAGGGTGTCAGCTTCCCGCGGCTGGCGG